CCCCCCCCCCCCCCCCCGCGCCCAATCGTCCCTCCGCAGGCACATCGGTGGGCTGAATCCTTCCGCCCTCCTTGCGGGAGACGGAGATGCCGAGAGGAGTCTCGTTGATGAATGGCTCAAGTTCGCTTCGACCATGCAGGTGCGACACCCGCACGTAAGGGAGACGGAGCATGTAGTTTACGAGTGCACTGTAGTCGCTTCGACCATGCAGGTGCGGACACCCGCCCGTAGCGCGAGAGGGAGAAGGTATTTAGTTAGCGAGTGTACTGTAGGGCTGGAGCAAGCGGTAGGCAAGATCGAATGGGGTTGGGTGGGGGGGTCCTACTCACGTTTTGCATGCCTTCGCTGTTGGACCATCGACTGGGCGTCCTCGAGAGGACCGAGCATTGTTTCCATAGGACCGATGACCAATGGCTTATCGTTCCTTCGTGGATGGGGTGGGGAATGGGAAAAAGGGCGCGGAGAGGAAATCGAGGTGGCCGGGCGGGGGGCCGGGGTGGATGGGGTTTGGATGAGCAGAGCGTGGCCAATTTACGAGGCACGGCCTCATTCCCCAAGATCCTTTCCCACAGGGGCGACGTCAAATGTACCACGTTTCAATAGAGTAGTATCGTGTGCGATCCGCCGGTATCGATGCCGCTGCGGCTGTCGAGTCTGCCCCCAAATCAAAGCACGGCATCTCGTAGGCATCGCTTCCGAGGTCGACAACCTTGAGTTGACCCACACTTTGGGCGGGCCATAGATCTCAACCATTACGACCGCGTGGCTCTTGCGCTGTTGCTGTTGTTGTTAGGCCGGCGATGTGTCTGCCGCAACGGCTGCGTTGGAAAAACGCCTCGAACAGAATACGTTTTTGGCCGGACAGCGGGTCACGCTCGCCGACGTGGCCGTGTGCTGCAAGATGATTGGTCACACTGAGGGACTGACCCCGGCGGTTGCACGGTGGATGGGTACCTGCGTAAACCAGCCGCATTTCAAGTGAGAAGCCGGAAGCACCGCATGCGTGAATAACATTTGCTTTGCTTTTGAGAGCGGGGTGGAGGAGAACCCTTATTAGTGCGTGTTGAATGGCACTACTGCCCGGTATTGAGCAGGTGAAATCCGAGTGACGTTGATGAAACGTTTAAGCTGTCATAGTCTTTGAATAGCGTCCGGTGCCCGGTGCAGTGCCGGTGCATCTAGCGGGCACTATTGGGGGACCCGCACTGCTGTATCATGTCTGCTTTTGGTAGATAGCCGCTAATGATGCAGTGTTGAACCTCACTTTCCGAGGTGTACGAAAGCGATGCTATACTGCGTTATTCCTCATCTGCGTGGTGAAATGTGATTCCCAGACACATTAAACGAAGGGTATAAAGCAGTAGGTGACAAACACAGGCGTGGCGTTGGTGTTGGGTCAGGGCCAGGGCACCGCTTTTTCTCGAACGAAAGGCGAAATCAAAACCCTCTAGAACAAACCCTTCTGCAACAAAACCCTCAAGGCAACCTACTTACTTTTCCAAACAACAGATACAGAGAGCCTCGTGTCACTGCGGACGGGAATCATGATATCACATCCCCCGACCCCCATGATAATTGTCGACAACAGTACACCAGACAGCGATCCGGACAACGTCGAGCGCCATGTCAATAGGCACTCGGACGACAACCACCGGCCAGAAGCACCAAACAACGTCAGAACCGGGCTGCCATAAGCAAGCTTAAGAAAGGACGAGACGCAACCCCCTCCCCCTCCCCTCCCCCCCGTCAAAAGGCAAACCGCCCGAAAACAACAAAAGCCGCCCCGCAACTAGGTATTGAGCATATAGCACCCTTCCCACTAGAGACGACGTGCAAAAGTGGCCGGGTCGCAGGTAACACTCGATTTGAAACACTTCCCGGAAATACGCCGGCACCGACGTGACAGGTAACACACGATGCGGTGAACAGGCGTCCAAATAAACAAATACCTGGCACAATGTCCTGTCAAAGCAGTAAGTCCTATGTACTGACACGGCGCCCGTTGATCAACCCCGTTCCTTTTGCCATCGATATCTTCAAGCTTCATTGCTTCGACGATAATCTACCTGCCACGGCATTTCGTCCTTGTGTCATAGCGGCCACATAGATCCGCATCATCTCACAAATTCGTGTGGAAGGAAAGGGTTGACGCTCAAGGGGGAATTACTCGGTGAGGAGGGTTTTGCAACGGGGGAAGGTTGGACCAGCATCTACGCAAGTCTTCAAAATCGATGAACACGTTTTCGAGAGATCACCGACGCCCCCCCCCCCGAACTCTGCACGCAGTACCCCTGCGCACGCCAACTAGGCCGTGCCAATACATCCATTCGCATGACTAGGATGTCTCACCCACCGCATCGGCACTCTCTCGGACGAAAACAGTGTTGACTATCGATCTGCTTTGAGTTCGGGATAGTACAGTTGCCGGGTTTCTCGCCAAGTGAATGGCCCCAACATTATCCTCGTGAACTAAAGTACAACCCGGTCCGAAAATTAACACTTCAGATATGTAGCAGGTTTCCCGCAACCACATGTACTTCGCCTGCTTCATCCCATCCGTCAAAGCGAATTTTCGAAAAACGAACCCGATCAAGAACAAAAGCAGAAATAAGCAACCAACACGTTGTCTACCAGCGTGCCCTATGGCACTACAGATAGGCTGTTCAAATGGTGTATCCCCTGCAGAATTTCGTCATGTGGGTGTGGTTGAATAGCTGATCGACACAGCAAACGCATGCTGCTACTATCGGTTCATGAGAAACACTGCCTGCAGTAGCGGTCCACACCACTACGGCCTTTCCGGCTCGTGCGCACAGCGAACAGCAGTGGTTGGAAAGGGTTGCAGTGCCTCTTGTCCACCATTACCACCCTATGCTCATGTGCAACAATATGTCATCAGTCCTCCGCAACAAACACGCATAAACGAAAACTCAAGAAATAAAACACTCCCAATCTAGCTGAACGGAATATGTGCAACGCATCGTATGGAACGTCAAACCAAGATAACGTCAAGACACCACAAAATATCAAAACAAAACTCGAAAGTGCCCACCGCAGCAAGCCCGTCAACTTCCTTGCGTCGCGCCTCGGTCCAGATTTGGAATCTTCCGCCAACACATCTCAGTGCCCCGCGCTCCGGTGGCCACCAGATCCTCCTCCGCTGCTCCGGCCGGCCGCAAACGCATGCGCCCCTGCCGTCGCGGCCTCGACTTCTATTTCCTCGTTCAAACGGGGGAGCACGGCTCCCCCAACCCTCCCTCTCAGCAGCCGCTGTGTCCCCGGGTCGAAAGGGTGCAGCAAGCTCCAACCAGGCCCCATTCGTCGCTGCTGCTGCTGCTGCTGTTTGGGTCGCCGATGCCCTCGGCGTACCGTCCACCAACTCCGCGGGTGCTACCGATGCAGCGTTTCCCCGGGTCGAAGGGGCGCAGCAACGTTTCATTCACGGCCACCGGTCGTTGCCCCTGCCCGTGTTGCTGCTGTTGGCGACCTCCTCGGCGTGCCGTCGTCCACCATCCGTCGGCGTCGTCCGTCTGCTCTGCTGCCTCTTCCTGGTGGATGTCGAGCAAATGTTGGAGATGTGTGATGACCGTGTTTCCCCGCAGCGCGTGGAGCAGCAGTTGCCGTTGGTGGAGCACAGCCGTGCATAGCCTGGTGTCCATGCGTTCCACAGACACATTAAACCCATTGGCGCATTAGGTGGAGGCGGCGAGTCCCGCTGACGGTAAATCTCGTTCTTCCAGCAGTCGTAAATTCCTCCAATCCCAATCCGCGGGCGTTGCTGACGAGAAACACCTCTCCACCGCTGCTGCTGCTGCTGCTGCTGCTGCTGTCTGGGACGACCAGCCCACGGCTGCTGGTGACGAGGAGGACATCCCCACCGACGTCGGCACGGCTGGCGAGAAGCACCACCCCGCTCCTGCTGCCGCTGGCGAGGAGGATCACCCCGCTGCTGCTGCTGCGTCTGCTGAGCATTGCTACCTCCTTCCCCTTGACGTCCAGCACCGTGACCCGTAGTCCTACGGACAATTGGGTTCGAGGCGGTGGGCCGCGTTCCGCCGCATCCCCGAAAACCACGCACGCATCGTGGTTTCACAGAGGCGTCATCCCCAGAGACGGCCGCTCCAGCGGCCGTCGCAGGTAATATCGCCTTCCGCGCCCGCAACGCTTGGCGTCATTTTCTTGAATTCTAATGGTCGCATCATTTCCATCTTCTCCTTCCATGTTGGCCCTCTATGGCTCCTCATGGTAGGCCATTGTTCACTCCTGTGGCCTTCCTGCCGAACCAGCTCTCCTTGAGAAAGGGGCTGATCAGTACACACGCACAATATGTACGAATAATACACCACCCACGCAAGATAGCGAAAGCTGCTTTGCAGCACGTCTCAGGTAGTGGCACTTCTCACCCAGCGCTGCTTCATGGCACGTATGTCAGGCAATCGTAGCACGTCTCATGGCGTCAAATATATCATGGTACCCGAATACTGGCTGCCCTCAACCAGTCCCAATCGATCGTGTTTGGAGGCGGGCAGCGTGTTGTCAAAAGAGCAGAGAAAAAGGTTGTAAAATCATTTTACGAGTGAGCACAGGGCACATGCTTGCCCATGCACGCAGAAAGGAGAGCGCCCTTCCACAAACACATTCCACCTAATGATACACGGAACTAAGATCTCCGTAGATCCGTACCGAGTCCTCAAGCAGCGGATGCTTCGGTGTGACGCACCATTTTGGCTTATGATGCAGCCCAACCACGCCCTTTTTGCATACGAGGCCATTAAATACCCCACCCCTACGACAACGCTGTATTATGCAGGGCCGTCGTGGACGGTAGCTCTGCCGCGACCTCCCCGTCCGCGGAGGCTGCGAGCAGCAGCAGCACCACCCCCGTCTTCTCCGAGCCGAAGCTCTTGGACGGCTTCGAGGAGGGCAACAAGTCTTTGGACAAGCTGAAGGAGCTGGGGATCGAGGGGGCGCTGTTCGAGCACCACAAGGCCATGACGGTGCCGGAGCAGGAGATGGCTCTGCGAGGCGTCACCGGGGACAAGACCAAGAACTTGTTCCTCAAGGTGCGATATCTGCTATGGAGACAGCAGTGCAGGCCGAGGGGAAGCAGACGAAGGGATCACCGTCGTTGTTGTTGTCGTGTGTTGCTGTTGCAGTTGCGTGCGTTACACTTGCGACGCAGACACAGGAGGGGGTTGTACGGCAGTACCAGTTGTCGAACGATGCGCACTGCTCCGTATGCATTGCGTCACGAGGTTGCGATTACGGCGTTTCCTGTGTGGACGGATGCACCGCCGAGAGAGCCATTTTGGGTCGCGAATTTTGTACGGTCAGGCGGGGAGTTGTGCGTGGTGTTGCGAGAGAATGGTACAGTACTTTTCAGAGGAGCGGGACGTTTGCGATCTCTGTGCGTGTGTCGCATGGAGCGGCACCAACAGGCATTTCAAGAGGGCACACCTGTAGCGGGATGTACGACGTCTTGCCCCCCCAGATCTCCATTCTCGTAATTAAGTGTGGTTGGGGTATCTGCGGAATACCCGTATGGTTTTGTGCGATAATTTTCGAACCTGTAACCCTGTTCAACACGTTTTAACATCGCATTCAAAACCCCTATGTTTCAGAGGTGTGTGGGTTTATGAGTAGACCATCTTTAACCCAACTAGTATGAAGTGAAACATGTAGGCCAGATCATGTTCGACCCCGCCCCCTCGCTCCCGGATTAACCATTAGTCCAGTTCCGGTATAGATGCAGAACGCCAACAATCCTGCTACACGCGCCCTCTTGGATGTTTCCGAAAGGCAAGGTTTAAGGGTTGCCTCATTTGTGCATGTTCAGGAAGCTGAAACCCAGAAAGTGTTGACAGGGTCAGTTGGTACGCCCTAATGTTGCTGTTGAGACCGCAGCATTTAGTTCTGCTCTTTGATAGTAGCAGCAGTTGTGATGCTCTCGGCACGTTGATGAGTTCGTCATGTGTATGCCACAACTAGAGCTATGGCTTGTTGAGAAACTGCATGCCCCAATCACAAACAGTGCGCATGCTCGCAGCTGAATGTGTCTCTTGCATTATTTCGTTGCGTTCCGTAGGATAAGAAGGCAGGTCTCATCCTGGTAACGGTGAGACACGACCGCCCCACCGACATGAAGACCCTCGCCAAGCTCCTCGGCCTCCCCGGAAAGGTGCGAACTACCAAGCTAATATAGAATGATGCTCAGGAACGTTTCGAGGATCGTTCCGACGATCGTTGTCGTAGCGTGCGTCCGGGTAGGTTCTTGAGGGGAAATGCTCTGTTTCTTGTCAAAAAATATGTACAGAACCCACCAACACTCAAGAACTTAGCAGCAAGGAATTGACGAGCCTGAAAAAAAAGCCAAAATCCTCCGGCCGTAATAGCAGGTGCTCGGTCCAAAAGCCTGCACTTCACCCTACATAGCCGCTGTGGGTGTACAGCAGTACCCCATAAGAGCCAAAATAAGAAACGAGCGTCGACCAAAATACACAAGAGGTTCTTGCGTGGTGGCACGCTCTGTAAGTCCTGGCAGAGTCGATGGTGTACCTGTCGGCAAGGGGTAGGCGTGGCGCCCAGCCTCTGTGTAGACCTGGGACGAATTGCGAATACATGGCGGCATGTTCATGCCCGCGTGTCACGTAGGTAGAGGCACACGCGTGTTTCCTCCCCACACGCAACCGCTATCCCTGCCTTGGGGGCGGCGATTCCCTGCTTTCGATACAATCTACATGTAGGATTGTGGAACACGGGGGTGAGCATCGCATAGAGGTTGGGCAGCAGAGCATGCCATACCCTCCCCCTGCAGGTTTCCCTTCGTTCGAGAGCCTGGTCCGGTGAGAACCCGGCGTGCTCCGTCCCGGCTCGTGGGGATGCGAGGTCTCAAAGGTCTAACGACTACGGCATGCACGACTATGAGT